GGCGACGAGCCCCCCGATTTCCTCGCTCCCCCCAAGACTCGCCCCCGCAAGAAGTCGGCGCCGGAGACCCTGACGCTGCCCGCCCTGGGGGAACGCGCCGGCACCGAGTGACGCCGGCAGTGCCACACCGTGCCACCTCCCCGGCAGGACCCTGCCACCCACAGCCCCTCTGGTGGGCACCGACCCTGGGGAGGGACCCACCGTGGGGGCACGGGGAGCCCCGGGCAGGTACCGGCCTCCCCAAGCCACGGCGGGTGCCCACAAGGGACGTGGCCACCACTGCTGCGCAGGGAGGGGACACCAGGCTGGAGGGGACACCAGGGTGGAGGGGACACCAGGGTGGAGGGGACACCAGGGTGGCACTGGGCGATGCCACAGGCACCGGTGCCACCCACCCTGGTTGCCACAGGGGCTGGGGAGCAGCGGGGCTTGGCAAGTGATGCCAAAGCACCACCCCGCAGGGGCACAGCGCCTGTGACAGGGACAGCCGGGTGCCCGGGCTCCCCGCAGGACCCTGGGGGCCACACAACCCCCCCGCACGGTAGGTCCTGCGGTGGGGGGTCCCCTTTGCCATCCCTTGTGGGGGGGCTGGGGCAGGCTCAGCCCTCCCTTTTCTTGGGGAAAACAAAGGCCTTTTTGGAAATAAAAGCTCAAGACACGGTGGGTGGCTGTTTATTCGGTTTTGGGGGGGGGTCCCATCCCTGTGCCGTGTCCCCGGGGAGGGATGGCTGGATCCCTAAATCCCAGGGTGAGGATACAGGGTCTCAGGAAGGGCAGTGAGGGGCTGGGGGGGGTCAGGTTGGGCAGGAGGGTGCTGTTTGCAGGGGCTCAGCTCAGCCCAGCTGGGGGATGTCCCCAGCCCCACCGGTGGCACCGGGCTCCCCTTCCTCCCAGGGCTCCCCCTCCTCCAGCCCCTCGGCCCCCGGCACGGCCATGGCCGTCGCTGGCCCCAGCAGGGCGATGTAGAAGGAGCTGCAGTAAACGGGGGCCTTGTTGGGGCTGGAGTAGACCTGCTCGGGGCGGAGGGAAGCGAAGGGGTTGGCGGCGTAGCCCACGATGTGGGTCTCGAGCTCCACCAGGATCTGCAGGGAGGACTTCAGCTCCTGCTCGCTGCCAGGGGGGAGGACAACCCCCGTTATTGCACCTCCAACACACCAAGGAGGGGTTGGAGGGGGGGGTCAGGGAGGGAGGGACGGGGGCAGCGGGGGCCGTGCTCACCTGTAGACGGTGAAGAGGACGGGCAGGCGGTAGTCCCGCAGCAGCAGCAGGGTGGGCAGCCAGCCTGCCAGCAGGTCCGGGCAGGCATGGAAACCTGGGGGGACACGGTGGTGAGGGTCCTGCTGCCCCCCCCCTCCCACCCCAGCCCTGGGGACAGCTGGCTATAACAGCACCCGTGCCATGCCGGAGACCCCCGCGAGGCTGGCAATAGGGATTGGCAGTGTGGGGGGTCCCATCCCCACAAAAACAGCAGGGGACACCCCCCAGCTCTGGGTCCTGGGCTGGACCATCACACCCAGACCTGGAACCCAGAGGCAGGGACCCCCCCACTGAGCATCTGGGGGAGACAGGGCAGCACAGGGTGGCCCGTTGCAGCTTCATTCATGGCCATAGAATCACAGAATCTTCTAGGTTGGAAGGGACCTTAAAGATCATCTTGTCCAACTGTCAACCTCACTGACAAAAATAGACACCCCCA